CTTCTGCAAAGTGAGGATCAGTTAGAAATAGGTAGTGCATTGATGCACATGAGAAAGCGTTCCCATTGGATTGCAGGGAGGGAATCTGAGAGCAGCAGAGCCATTAGAGTCAAAGCCGTTAGCGAGACAGGGCTGGGGACTCTCTAGACTCAGCACATCCGGGAAGACACTTGCCTTTTATTTCAAATAAAATAAGCCATCTCATTCAAAGGCCTGGCCTATTTGTTATGATAGAGTAATCAAGCCTAGTAGCAATGCTGTTGTCACTTATATTTTTGTTTAAATTAAAGAGCTAAGGGATTTGTACTTTGAAGGATTTATTTATGATAATGTCTTTCCATTTAAACAATCGATGTTTATTTTTCTAAGTTATTCAAAATTTACACTAAAGTCCTTAAAAATAGTTTTATCTCATCAAATGGTGAGAAATAGCTAAAAAATAAGCACAAGTTTACTAAAGAAAATTGTTCAGGGTTTTCAAAGAGTTGTATTATTGATTTTTAGAAGATAGTCTCTATAAATTGTTAGGCTTCTTAGAATTTTAAGGTCCTCAACTGTGTTGCTCCTTGAAGAATTTTTAAAAAGTTCTTTTATAATCTTCGTAAGTTTTAGTGTATATTTATGTCCCTTTTTTCTTTAGGTTTATTTTTAATCACAGAAATTCTTCAACTTTATTTATCACATAGTTAACTTTCATGGACATAGTAATAAATAATAAGAAAGCAATTGTTTCCTAAAATATTTTCATTGTTTAATGATGTACATATTTATTTAATCAGATGTGAAAAGGAATACATTCTAAGAACAAATAAGACAATATAAGGATGTTTTTCAAATTTTTGATGTCTTATTCCATATGCTTTAACAAAGTATTCAAATAAATCGAGAATCTGAGTGGCCCTGCTCTTTAAATTGGAGGGCCAATCACATTAATCATTGCCTGGGTGTCGCATGGCACTGCACAAGCTACTTTCCATGAAGATGTGCTTCTTGCATGTCTGTGTGCTGCTATAAAATCCTCACTGCTTCTTGAAGTTCCTCTGCTACATCTTTATTCTAGTAAATGAGGGAGGAGATCTCAGTCCATTGAGCAAGCTAATTGGCTAAAGCCATCCTGATAGCACTAGGCAAACATGACTGCAGAAGGGAACACCTCGCGCTCACTCGGAAGTGGATTTGGGAAGGTTGACTGCATTTACATTAAATAGTTTACCTTAAAAACAGCAACTCTGCATCAATAGTTGTGGTCTTATTTCTTTGAGTTAAGGATAAGCTTTTTAACTTGCACAGAGAAAGAAAGGAAAATTAAAATTGTAGAGAATATAGAATTTGCTTATGGCTTAATGAAACTGCTTTCAGTAGCTGATGTTTAAAATTAGAGATCATCTCTTAAAATCCAGATGTATTTCCTTCTTCAAATCATTTTAGAAAATGTTGGAGAAGACTAACTTTGAATTGATATAAAATTTCATGAAATATTTTACGTTTATCTCCCTTGATTATGCTTTTAGTCTTGCTTAATGACACCATCCATTATCTTTAGAGTTAATAGAATACAACTTGCAGATTTTTATGTATATCACATATGTTATTAATCCAAATCACAAGAGAGCAATCCTTACCAAATACATGGGAGAGACTGACATTTATGTGTTGATGGTGATGACCGAATTCTTCATTTAACACTGTGAAGTTTTGTTCTTCAGTTTATATCTTGGTCTGTGTCAGTCAGTGGAAACAAGGTTTAGAAACAATGTACAGTGGAATATGCATTTTATATATGTGGGTAAGTTTTGTGATTGACTGAGAGGAATAGAATCATGGATGCACAACTGACATCCCTAATAAGTGCAAATAATTTATTTATTGAAGTTATACTGTAAGAGGCATAGAAGACTTAGAAAGTAAACTCCAGATGATATTAGATGTTATTAGGTTCTATGTGTAGGAAAGCAGGGCACTGCATGAAATACACCTGGAAGAGAAGTGTTGATTTGGGAGCTAAGGGGTTATTTAAGTACAGATTTCCAAGAAGCTAATTGTCCAAAAATCCTTACACAGAATGTGGATCCTGATTGTTCCTACCCTGAGACCCAGGGAACTTTACAAAGAGAAAGGAATAGGGCAGAGTTCATATTTAAGTAGCTAGTAATACAGTTTTTGTGAGTGGAGTTAGAGTACAATAATTAGGTTACTGGTTTAACCAGACTTGAAATCGAGGTACAAACTGATATGGTCTTAAGGTAAATATAGCAACAAAAACCCCAGCAGACAGTGAGGCACCGTCTGCTGTGATGCCTGAATGCCCAGGCAGACAGGAACAGCTACAAAAAAGCATCAGTGTGGATCCAGGAAGGTCTGACTTCCATGCCTCTTCCGTTGTCCCCTCACTTTCACCTGTACCTGACGGCCTGCACATCTGTGGAGAAGGGTCAAGACTGCAGAGTGCCTTGCAGGAGCTGCTGGTGAGGTAGAAAGACATGGGGCTTGAATGCAACTCTTAGGTGTTTTGCCTCCTGTGAAGAGGCTTTATCTTTTAAGGATCAGTGTAGTACTTAATGGAATAATTTTTCCTAGAGACAACTTTTCTTATACTGTCCCCTGACCTTCATGTTGGTAGGTTTTTTTCTTTTTAAAGTGGAAAAATTTTCTGGGGAAGAGGAATAACTCCTGAGAGAGAGGAGGGGTTCTGAGTGAGTTTCCTTCTTGTGTAGGCTTTATTAGTGGATAAAATAAGAGTAATACAAGAGTCCAATGATTTAACAGAGCTTTTATTCTTTAGCTTTCTCTAGTATTGGTAAATCCACATTAACTTCTTTAATTATCCCAGATAAAAATCAATCACAGGCCTCAAAGGAATGAACCACAGTTATCTGCCCAATGTGGTTGTGCGTCATCTTACATTCCTCAGCACAGTGAACCTTCATTTCTGTTTCATCATTCTGTTTTATGACTTTTCTCCTAAAATATCAAAGTTGAGGAGAATGATAGAAAATACATACCATTATTACTTCACCAATGACTTTGGTTGATCAGACTATGCTTTCGTTTAATTTCAAGAGTAAAGCATACATTCTCTGGATGGAATATTTGGCTGCCATTAAAATGTATCAGTCAAAGTACCATCTTGTCACACTAGAGAATATAGGTTTTAAAAGCAGATAACAAACTGCATGTGCAATATGTCCCTAATATCACTCTCCCAGGCTGCCTGTACAAAAGAACAGGATCAAAAGAGCAAACAAAAATATCTCTAGTCATGGTTCTTACCAGTGAGTAGAATTTTTATTTCCCTTACTATGCACTTTTTTTTTTTTTTTTAGGTACCAGGGATCAAACTCAGGACCTTGCACTTACCAGACAAGCACTTATTCTACAGAGCCATCCCCTCAACCTGCACTTTTCTATTTCTGAAAGTCTTTTCATTACATCCATACAAAGATCATAATTGGGTGGGTTTTTTTCTAGTTAATAACCTGAGTATGCTGTACAACAAAAAAAGACATATCTGAGAGATGAAAAGCATTCTTTGCCTTCAGTTAGCCCGTAGTATAATTTGAAAGCTCAGACTAGAGATCCTGAAATCATTAGATGACACTTGGGCTAAGCTATTCTTTATGTTCTCTGAGACTACTGGGGGTTGAGTAAAGA